CTATATACCTTTGCAAACTCTCGGCTTAGAAGTAATGTATAAAAGCTAGATAGGACAGGTGGTGTACTACATGGAAAGAGACACAGAAAGACACACACACATCTCCAATGAAAACGATGAAACAGAACAAATACAATCAGTGTGCTTAGAGGTTTCACAAAATTAATCTTCTTGCCCATACTCTACACTTTGGAATACGTTCACCTCCTTGCCTCTGAATTCTCAGAATGTTTTGATACAGCTCTGGAGAGGCCTACCAAAGGAAGCTGCCCAGAAGATCTGACTCCCCTGAGCGCCTTCTTGCCTACTTTGTGACTGCATCTGTCACCCCCATCCTCTTCGAAAAAGTGAAAACTTCATGCACTTTTAACCTGAGAAACTTCTTTTAGGCAGAGTTTCTAACAGTGTGGCATTGATCTCATGATACCTGGCACTGTATTTCATTCCCATAGTATGTAATAACAGTTTACTCCTATACTGAAGTGGATTATTGGAATAACTGAGATTTTTGCCAATGAAAAAAACCCAAGATAATTTCACCCTGTAAATATTATAAAGAACATGTCTTACAAACAAAATACCAGCTTTGCTGCCAAAGTGGAAAAAAGATCTGTATGCAGAGAACTTAACTGAGGTCCCTTTGAATAGATTACAATGCTTTTTCATGGAGAAGCTAAGGATGCAAGGGCAATTTTTGACATGGAGCAAGAGCATTATTATGGCTATTCTCAGGTACTCTGTCATGAGAACATAATTTCTTTTTGCAAAGCATATTAGGACAGGGAAGCAGAAATAATTAATTTCCTGCAAATATACATTCCAGGTATACACATGACAACTTTTGTTTAGCTGAGCACAAAAAATACGTTGTCTGTTTTAATGACCTGTAGAATTACTTTGGTGCTGTTACCTGCTCAGTCAACTCTGCTTTCCCAGTCCATCTCACTCCTCCAATCCCAGTTGTCCTTTTGATAATTTTGACTCACTACTCAAACCTTTCACTTCTGCCTCCCAAGTTGCCAGAGCACAGTCTTATTCCAGCTATGCCTCACATATTCATCACACACAGGGGATGGGCTAGATGTGAAAAGCAGTTTAAGATCAGGCCATGCTGCAGAGGAAGTGCATGAAGCTGTTCTAACCTTTAGGATGACCATAACTGAAACTCTGATGCCATTTCTAACACCTGTCTGTCCTCCCTTTACTGAACAGGCACCTGGATTCAGTATTTTAGTCTTCATTCAGTGTCCTTTAAAAAATATGGAAATGCACCTAGTTATTTCAGTGAGCATTAGATTAACCCTAGGTACATTTTCACTTTTTACAAATTGTTGCACAGAGCTGGACGTTAGCTGAAACACTGACTCCATGCATTTCTCAACTGTAGGGAGCTTAAGAAGCAATTTCTCCTGTTACGCAATCAAAACTGCATTCAACCCACAAGACAAACCTAGATTTGGAACATCAGCTGTACATGCAGTGGTCTTACTCAGCCTTCCAACTGTAGTATTATTTGGCATTGCTTTGACACTAAACAGTAATGTCTACCTAGCTCATGAAACAGCAGCAGATGGTCTCTCTCAAACAGAAAGAGGCTTTATTTTTTCCCCTGTGGCTTCAACATTCCAAAAACTGGTGTTACATAGAAGTCAAGTAAGTCTGACATTAGACATCAGAGAACATCTCCCTCTATATTTGACCAAACTTTTCTATGTAAAGAGCAGGTGTCATGTAGACAGACACTGATACTATGCAACAGTCAAAGAAAAGCAGAAAAGGTTCATTCCACAATGACTGCAAATTCCAAAGCAGTTAAGAGCAAAATATACCGGGTATCTTAATGCATTTTCCTCTTTATTACATGGCTTTGTAACATATTAATAGCTTTGAAAGCAAGTATAATATAAGCAAATGGGAAACTATTCCTAGAGTTGGAAGGAACAAATGCTTGAATTTCATTCACACAGCCATATACTAAAAGAAACCAACATCTCTTCACTCTTTTTCCTTCAATGCAAAATTAATCAATAAAAACTTTAAATTCCAGATATTCTTATTTTCCCCAAATCCTTCAACCGTGACTATGCCTTCCCATTTGAGAAGACATACATACAGAGAGAAACATACATAGTTTGAGGTACCATAGAAGGGAAAAAAACAGCAAGACTAGCCAAAACCAGCTAGGCCAAATCTAATTCTAGAGAAAGGCAAAGAAAGTATTTTCCTATGTACATTTGTAGAAAAAAATTGTAGACTTGCTATTTTGATTTGATATGAGCTCGAGTGACTTATATTAACTCCAAAAAGAACTTCAGTTGAGAAGTCACTCTGTCTCAAATCATCTGGATGACTGTTTCAGCAACCACACCCTCCTATCTGGTGACATTAACTCAAAACCAGCTGTTCAAACAGCAATGCTTTTGAAATTTTCCAGTGTAAATTTCCATTTCTACATCCTCATCTGTCCTGTGCAAATGATAACTGCACACATATTTGAATACATAGTAATTGTTTTAAAAATCCTGATCACCTTCAGAATACTGAAGAGGGAGTCAGTTACATAGACTACTCATTTGCTACCAGTTGCCTCTAGTGTCCTTAGTTTCCTCCACTTTTAACAGGTTGGGCAACAATAGTCTGTAGTCTTTTTCCACTCTAGTAAGAGTGAGAAGTCTAATATGCAGCCTATACACTATCTTAGCCTACTTCTAAGCTTTGACCAAACTCTAAGCTTTAGGCAGTTAGACTTTTGCCTTCCCCGAATGGTCCTGTTCACTGGATTTGGGATGTTTCACCCCTCCCTTAGCAGAACCATAGAACTGATGAGGTCACAAGGGACCAAAGTGACCGGTCAAGATCACCTAGTTCAACCCCTTTGCTCAAGTAGAGTCAGCTAGAACAGCTTGCCCAGGACCATGTCCAGTCTGGTTTCGATCATACAGCTACGGCTCAAGTAATATTTTCAAAAGTAACAAGGAATGCCTCAAGGTCATCACTAGGTCTCATCTTTGTCACTTGTACAGGTCTTGGAGAAAGCCTTTTTCCTGAAATGCTTCTCTCAGGTCTCTAATCTTTGGGTTTAAGTCAGGTAAGACTAAGCCAGCTAAGTCAGATAGCAGCAGCTGCTGTTGTGACAACAGGTCCCTTAACAGTTCATTGCTGTTTAATGCTTTGCTGCAAGGTCTGCTACTGTACTACCTTCTGATATGTAACTAGACCCGTGGTTCTCTGCATGACTACTGCAAAGTTGCTGTGTTCCTCTGAACTCTTGAAGACTTTTTACCTTCAAGTAGGACTGCATGCAATCTCTCTCTGAAGTCACGATTTTCAAGGTGACAAGGAGTCCTTTCCTTCCAGCACAGCTGAAAAGACTTTCTGTCACCTGTTCATCCTCAAAGGACACTGCTCTTTGCTGCAGCTATTTCAGCTTTCTTCCTCTTGCCTAGGCAGACATTTGCCTGTTTAATTCCAGATCACATTGGACTCTTGACCTAATCAAGTTGGATAGTTTCTGCTTTTGGAATAGCTCAATACATCCTCTGACCTTTTGTTCATCAGCTGTTTTGGCAGTAGACAGCATATGAGTATTGCTTCTTAACTCTGCCTAAGTATCTTTTTGGCCATTCCTAAGAATTGCATATATATAGTGCCCAGTCAGCCAGGTCTCTTAAACTTTTCCAGCTTTGCAGAAGTAAAGAAAAAAACCTGTTCTGCCACAAGCAGTTTAAACATTCTGGTCCACCACTGAGTAAGATAGACGCAAAGGCCACATTTAGAAGCAGATTTTAAACCACTTCAAATATACCTTATCAGTACTAGGCCTACCATACTCCCCCCCAGTAATCAAAGGGGAATACTTAGTTTATCAGTACGAAATCAATGAACTACTGATGACCAACTATTAACACAGTATTGCATTTGTGCCAAAGCTAATTAATCCGTTAGTGCTGCGGTTAGCACTTCCTGTTATCTGCCCAAATAACCAAGAGAAGTGAAACTTCACACCCATGCCTGGATCAGGAAATGCTAACTCACAGTACAAATCATTTTATTACCCCTCCTCTGTTTGAAGGTAGCAATTTGTACTAAATTCTTTAGCATATCATGTCATTCAGCTGCTTACATGCTACTTCTACTGGAAGCCCAGTGGTTTTAATCCCCTCAGAGTCAGGCATTTAAATTCTTTTGACTTATTTTTAAGTGTTTATTTTGGCAGAGGTATGCATTGATTATGCTCATCAAAAAACCTGATCCCACGATGCTGTTACAATTGCTACACTCAACCTTTCTTTCTCGAGTGTGTATGTTCCATTATAGATTCTACGTTACAAGACCTTACACCCACCTTCTGTTAATCATACTGTGTTTTAAAATTTTTTTTTAAGAGCAAACCAACTATTTTTATCTTCTTCAGTTATTTGATAATACTCTTTGCAGTACAAACTTTAAAAAAGAAACAAAGCATAGATACTATTTTGTATAAGGCAGAAAAATATTAACCAAGCTGGATCTTGCCTAAAATGTATGCAAAGAAAACCTGCAACTATGCACAGCCACACTGTTGTGGAAAAGAATCCACACAAAAGGGTACAGCTGTAGGAGGATTCAAACAATCTAGAAATTATTT